GTTGACTTTTTTCTGTTGAAAAACTTCCAAACAGCGCTCGTATTTCCATAAAGTCACAGCAAAACGCAATTTTGGGTTTTGTAACATAAGATATTTTTAAAAGTGTAGAGAAGTGAAACAACAGCAAAATTTCAGAAACTGGCGTAAAACAATGTAGCTTCACGACAAATACAATACCTTGCGAATTGCCTAATCGTTCGGCATTTTCGGTCGAAGCTGAAGAAAAAAAATCAGCCGAATAATCCGAATACCGAAGCAATGCCGAACCTTCGGTCGGACACTAACTTTATCATATTAAAATTTAATGGACTTTAAAACTGAACCTGAAACTTATTTAAAAGTTTTGAATAAGTAAAGAGTTTGAAATTTTGGTGAAAATTTGATGGATTTTTCAAATTTTTGTACAAGTTTTGAAATGTAGATAGATGTAAATTGTGCTAAGTTATACATATGTGAAATGAGGTAAACTTTTATAAAACATAAATAAATATTAAATAAGAAAAGAAAAATAACCAAAATTGAACAATATGTAGTGTTAAAAATTTTTTTCAATTGTGTATATTAGGTCGGACATATTTTTGTGGAATCATATCCTTTAAATTTACAATACAATACCAGCTGTATCGCACTAAGTAATATATTTTGCACTAAATAGTAGATTGGCTCAACGTGTGCTGGTGACATGATAATCNGTGTATATTAGGTCGGACATATTTTTGTGGAATCATATCCTTTAAATTTATATTATTAAATTTATTTTTAAATAAATAGTAGATTGGCTCAACGTGTGCTGGTGACATGATAATCATAAGCCAGATCCACCGGCTTTCACACATAGTATGTACATTTTTAAACTATGCTGCATGCATAATTATATTCATGTGCTACACAATGTATCCACAAATGTAGGTTGATCACATCAGGTTGATATCACGCCGATTTATCTAATTAAATTAAAAAAAAAACAACACCCATCCATTTTGTGATCGTAATAACTTGAATTTACTGCGCAAATTTGTTTTTTTTTATTCTCAAATACGTGGGTACATATGTATGTTTGGTTGTATGCAAGATTAGCCTTTTAATTATGCAATGCAATGAGAATTAGCTTTTGGTTCTGCTCCATCTCTCTTTTATAATATTGTAAGCGAACGTGCAATAAGTGCATTGAGGCGTATCTCGTGTGTATGCAAATACATATGTTTATATGTACATTAGGGTGCACAGAAAAGTAAACTTTTTCGATTTTTCTTGCTGCCACAACCCCAACTATCCAAATTTAATTCTAAAATTTTACTATTTTTTCAAAACGTGTAATACGGCTGGTAAAATGGCGTTGAGCAATACCACCAGCTCTATCGGAATTGCGATTTCTTTAATCTGATGTTGGATAAAAGATTTAGAACTGAACCGCCGAGGAAATATTTTTAACAAGAGCGTGCAGTTGCTATGACATCGACATCATAGGTAACAAAAACCGCGAAGTCTATTCTGCCTTTTCCAAGTTGGATAAGAAAGCAAAGCGATTGAGTCTGGTGGTCAACAAGGTCAAGACGAAGTATCTCCAGTCATCAAACAAACATTCAGCGCCTTTGGCCCCACGTTGTTATTGCGGCTACAACAACCCCGCCCATATCGACCAGTCCCTCAATCGTTGTCAACGGGAGACGGGAGGCGTGCAGCCTCTATACGATCCGTCCATAAGGACAGAGGCGTCAGTTGAATGTGGTTTAGTGGGCATGCGAAGAGATTTCTCGGGTCGTGAGGCATTTCTCCGCATGCCGGGCACTCATTGGGCACATCCGCATCCAGTCTGCTCAGGTACGAGTTTAACCTGCACACACATTGCTATTTACAGTTACAATTTCAAGAAAGTAGAGATTAAGTTTACTTGGGAACCAGCATTAACACCGATAATAATAGGCGTGTTTTTTACACGCATACGTATGTATATGCGCTTAAAAATTATATGGAGCTCTAATTAAAGCGACAATCTTTATGTGAACTTATGAATAGTAGCCCATAAAACCCAAATTACTTGTTTTGAAACGGAAATTGTCGATGATTGTTTTTTTACACTTTAAGCGTAGATGTATACAGAGTTGGGCAAAAATTTATTCGAATGATGAATAACAAGTGAATGAATGTTTTTCTCGTTGTTCGTAAATAATAAATAACTTTGTTTATTTAAAGAAAAATTATTCGAATGATTGATAAATTATTTTATTCGTTATTCGAATAATTAATAGGTTTGTCCTACACGAGCCCGCGAGATCCCAGCTGTTGTTGTTTAAATCCGAAAGCAAATTTTATAAAACACAAAAGTGGAAACCCACTACGAGTATGTATTTTTATGCGCAGAATCCAAATCTGTAACAGAAATATGTATATCCCATTAAAAAATTGATGTCCGGTCAGCTTAACCCAATTCCGGTGGAAACCGGAAATCGGTAATACAACCAAAAGATAGAGCATCCTCGACTTGGTAATTCCTGTTTTTTCGTTTTCGAATAAAAATATTTTCACTGATTTAAGAAGTCCAGGACGAGCTGAAGTTCAAAGGTCATTTAGAGGTTGAAAAGGACACTTCCGAGAAAAGTTACATATTTTTATCCTAAGAATCCGAATCTGTAGTAAAAAAGTAAGTATATCTAATTTGAAAAATTAACTTCCGGTCAGTTTAACCCACTTCCGGACGAAACCGGAAGTTAACAATACCAGCAAAAGATAGAGCATCCCCGATTTAGTAGGTCAAATGTTTGCGGTTTCCCCGTATGTATATATGTATATGCATATGTACATCAGTGTTGGGCAAATTTTAATTATAAGGACAGCACTGGTTTACAGCAAAAATGTTCTCCAGATGCCACTATCCAATTCCCAAGTAGAATTCCGAAAATCGAGATATTTTTTTTCATGGATAACTTTTCGAGATATTTGCAGTTTACCGTTATTCAGCTTTAAAAAATAGTGGTTTCACTTAATCACGTATATCTTACAAACCAATTGAATAATCGTAATACGAGATACGGGAAAAGAAAGAAAATAAAATTCCCCAAAAACCGTATATACATCACTTTTCGATAGCCCTGATAGTTTCTGAAAAATTAATTAATCATTTCTAACGCCTCTTGTTTCCGACTCAAACACTTAGCTTAATTTTTTTCCAAAGGAACAAACTTTAACAAAAGTCCAAAATATTTACACAGAAACTGTTATTTTTTTACTTTTTTCCCGGTTAAAGTTTGCATTTTTCCATAAAAAAAACAAAAAATCTGGAATGATTAATTAATTTCTGAGAAACTATCAGGGCTATCGAAAAGTGATGTATATAAGGTTTATAGAGAATTTCATTTACTGTACCTCGCATTACGATTATTTAATTGGTTCTTAAGTTATACTTGATAACAAGGAACCACTCTTTTTTTTAAGCTGAGTAACGGTGAATTGCAAATATCTCGAAAACGTATCCATACAAAAATAATTAATTAGATTTTCAAAATTTAAATTTGTAATCCAGTGCAATTAACAATTAAAATTAACAGTTGGTTAGTTGTATTTGTGGAGAAAAACAATTAACAATTAATTAATTAATTGTTAATTGTAGTGGAAAATAACAATAACACTTGATTAATTGTAGTGGTAGCAATTAAAAATTAAAAAACTGTTAATTGTGATTTTCGGAAGTTAACTAATAATTATTTTTAAATTGTTTTGTGAACTGTATTAAAAATTTACGTTTAAAGATGCCCACGGTAACAGCTTTGCGAGGCAACGTTTACTTTAATAAGCATAATTACTTATGATTCAATAATAACTATGGAATCATGTTTCTTTAGTGAGTAATCTTCCGACTTTTGCGGAGAGCTGAATTTCGAAAAACAAAAATTAGTTGGGGACTTTCTATACATATTAACATCATGCATATTAAGGTAACGATATGTAACTCAAAATTGATTACTGTTGTGCGTTTATTTTATTTTGTACTTTTGTATTGTTTTAATAAAATAGACCGAATCGCTATCGGAAATGAAAAATTCAAGGTGATGGTGATCGCGCTATGTATGTACATATATACTTGCTCATTACATGCATCGGTATGTATGTATGTACTTTAAAGCGCACCTGTTTTGCTTAAGTACATACATATGTTGATAATGTGGGCCTATACCAAATGTGGCTACGAAACAGACTCGACAGTTTTGTTTATATCTGGTTAAAAGAAGTGATATTGAGGAAGAGATTTTTTGGCTTCTATGCTAACACTGACAATTAATAATTACATTTGCATAACGAAGGTTTCTGTATATTCAGCCAAATCTTGTATTCTTGTAACATCGCAATCAAAAAACACGTATGCGAACTTACCGATTCGTACATACCCCTGTGACCTATAGCCATTTATTTATTTATAGTATTTTCTTTATTAATATATTTTAATAACGAATACTCTATTTTATATTCTTCTGAAATTTCAATATTTAGGTACATACCAAGAGTGTAATACCAATACAAAATATTTAGAATTATTTATATCTTGCTACATATGTAAATAGCTACATTATAATTATCTATTTGGTTCATACTAGGAGACAGATTGGTTTGAGCCTAATAATAGCTGTTCGAAATGGAGCATGAAACACGGAAAGCAACGTTCCCGCGGCAGTCGGGTCTACGTAACCGGAACGACCCAGACTTATGTATGTACATAAATCTGACCCAGGACTGCCACTCAAACATCATTCCGCAAAAACTCTTTGGGGGTGTGTATGCTGCTAAAACGACAACACTGAAACAGAATTTTTATCGTAATTACGAACTAATGAATAGCAAATTTCAATTCAATAACTTGATTGCTAATTATTTTCTACAACAAAAATTGTTCATACTATGCTCTTTTTTCGGCTTACATAATTGCTTAAATAATTCTTCCTACTCCATAAATAACTTTTCTTTTGACTTCCATCTTTGCTTCATAGTCACGAAAATGAACAACTTACTCTTTGGGAACGGAGAGGTATTGAAATAATTCGTCCACCGATCCGGCTACGCGCTTCCAGAATAAGAAAGTCATTACAGCCATTATGGATAAAATGATTTGCTGCCGAAAGTCCTGCCATGCCTGCACCAATGATGAGCACCTTCACCTTCAAAGGCAGCTGTTGTTGCTTCGTAGTTGCCTCGCTGCTTATGGAAGCACTCGTACTTTCTGCCTCTTCGGTAATTGGCGAAGGAGTAGGTGCAGTTTCACCCATTTTCCACAAATTACACTATGACCCACCAATTTCCAAAACACACACTTCTTTTTAGCACATCTATGAACAATAGCTGTTTAGTTTCCTAAGTTTTGGATTTTTTCTCCAACCGGAGTCACATTCGCAATTTTCTGCGATTTTTATCGATCTAATTTGAATGCTTATTGGATGACAACTCAAACGTCAAAATATCCACATTTTCTTATTATTCTTTCTTGTCTTCGCCCTCTACTCGTCAGCTGACTGCTAGGCGTATTCAATAAGGTGATATCGGTACGACAATAACAAAATGCATGATAGAGTTGTCAAACCATCAATGGCACTATCGATAATATCGATAGTTTCAATTTTTTTTAGACTATCAATACTCATTGATAGTTTTTTCTTATACTATCAAAAATATCGATAGTTTAGTAGGACTATCGAACTATTGTTGGTAATACCTAAATTTTTTAATTTGAATTAAAAATTTTGTTTTTTAGTGTGATGCCGACGTCATATTCAAATATACTCGCATTTAGGCCAACATACATACATGTGTTAATCGTAAATCCTGTTTTGTTTGTATAACTTGTGTTTGTTTTTAAACTTTCTAAAAAGAGAAGTTACTTAATTTTGAATGATTATAACTTTTATAAAATAATATTTATTTCACTATGATCCTGTAAAAACAAAGCAACCTAACTGATTTAGCGTTATCGATAGTTTTGTTTTTTCGAGACTATCGTGAATATTGATGGTTTTTCTGAAAACTATCAAAACTATCGATGGTGTGACTATCGATGGTGTGACTATCGATAGTTTGACACCTCTAATGCATGATGCAATAATACAACATGAACCAAAAATGCAAGATCACGCGGGCAGGAGAGTAGCCCGTTAGAATCGTGTTTAGGAAAAAAGTTTAACGATTTTGACCATTNTATCAAAACTATCGATGGTGTGACTATCGATAGTTTGACACCTCTAATGCATGATGCAATAATACAACATGAACCAAAAATGCAAGATCACGCAGGCAGGAGAGTAGCCCGTTAGAATCGTGTTTAGGAAAAAAGTTTAACGATTTTGACCATTAACCAAAAATACAAGATCACGCCTTCTTCTTAGTAGCCCGTTATAATCGCATTTAGGAAAAAAGATGGGCGACTTTGACATTAGCCGTTTGTTTACATTTGTTCGTTGTTTACAATTTGGTGGTGGCTTTCTACTGCAATTTTCTTAATTTTCGCTTGTGGCAACGTGTGTACACATAAAGTAAAGAATAATTTAACACAACGGCATGATTTATAGAAGAATTTGCATAATAAAAATGATTATTCATGCGCTCAACAGTTTCGCGGTTTTCTCCGTTCTCTTCGATGTTTACTTCTTACAACAAAGATGGCGTCGAGATTTCGGCAGCTAGAAAATAACTCTTCTTTCTTTCCTTCCCGCGTGATTTTGTGTCTTTCGTTCATGGTGTTATGCAGCGTTTTTGCTGCATTTAAAATGCAACATTCAGCACTTTCGAACATATGTTTTCGAAGAGCGTTCATGCAATCGCGTTTAGTAAATGTACATTAAGGCGAGTTCGAAATCGTATGCTTTTGACAAACAGCTAGGGACACGAATTTCGATACGATACGATACCATATCGATACTTTTGGCATTCGATACCGATATTTTCTACTCGATAGTTTTAAAACGATATTTTTTGGAATCGAGTACCAGAACCCAAGTATCGTATTGAATGTCATAAACTCACATTCCAAACTGAGGGGAAAAAATTTTAGAATTAAAAAAAAACGTGCTAAATTCAAAAAAAAATACGCATATGAAAGAGCACCAACCCAACTCGTTTTAAATTTGAGTATGTACGTTATAAAATATAGGGTTGTGAAGTGCACAGATACTTTTTCGTAATTAAGAAGAGAAAAAATTAATTTTATGTTCCGTCTGATGGGAATTGAACCCGGACCCTCTTGGCCGCAACTAATTGTATCAAGCGTCTTTGCACACTCAGCTACAGCCATACATGTTAAGGTGTTATTAAATGTTGAGGGCATTATGTCATACCATGTATGTGTGTATGTGTTGTCACCGCTGTGCATGATTCCCTGTAGGGAAAGCTACTAGTTGTGAACTAGAATTCTACCAGTTTGCGTTTCAGCCCAACTAGTTCACGTTCTATCCTTTTTAGCGACTGGTATTTTTAACATTGCGATGTCCTACGAGATGTTAATTATCAGGCTATGCATCAGCATCTACTAGTAGAAATACTAGTAGCATCATACCACTTGATGAGATAGTCTGCCAATTCATCCCCTATGAAAAGCATTAGTATGCTTTTTGCTCGCGTCACTCCAACAGTCGCAATGGCCGACAGAGCAAAGCACTCGCGTGGTATGCCTGAGGTACCAGGTTCAAGCCCTGGTGCAGGAAACATTTTTTAATATATTTTTTTATAATATTTCTTTTATTTATATTTTTTATTTAGGGGTTTTTTTTCTGTTATTCTTAGATTTAATACAAAAAAATATTTTTTTTAATATATTTTTTTATAATATTTCTTTTATTTATATTTTTTATTTAGGGGTTTTTTTTCTGTTATTCTTAGATTTAATACAAAAAAATATTTTTTTTAATATATTTTTTTATAATATTTCTTTTATTTATATTTTTTATTTAGGGGTTTTTTTTCTGTTATTCTTAGATTTAATACAAAAAAATATTTTTTTTAATATATTTTTTTATAATATTTCTTTTATTTATATTTTTTATTTAGGGGTTTTTTTTCTGTTATTCTTAGATTTAATACAAAAAAATATTTTTTTTAATATATTTTTTTATAATATTTCTTTTATTTATATTTTTTATTTAGGGGTTTTTTTTCTGTTATTCTTAGATTTAATACAAAAAAATATTTTTTTTAATATATTTTTTTATGGCACAAGTATTTCTTCCCATATATTTGTTTCCTATGAAAAGTAATAGTATGCCTTTTTGCTCGCGTCACTCCAACAGTCGCAATGGCCGACACAGCAAAGCACTCGCGTGGTATGCCTGAGGTACCAGGTTCAAGCCCTGATGCAGGGACAATTTTTTTTTTTTTTTTAATAATATTTCTTTTATTTATATATATTTTTTTTTAGGGTTTTTTTTGTTATTCTTAGATTTAATAAAAAAAAATATTTTTTTTAATCTATTTTTTTATGGCACAAGTATTTTTTCCCATATATTTGTTTCTTTTTTTTTGTAATGCAACTAGATTTTTAAGTTTGTTATTTATATTCTAACTTTAAAAATCTTAACCACCTTCAAGCGGCCTCGCACCTGCGATCCCAGAACGAGAACCAGTAGTCTTCACGTGACGCCACGGCCGACATTTGTAAGAAAAGCAATTAATTGCTTTTTATTTTAGACTTTGGCAATTCAAAGGCAGATGTCGCTGAACGCTTAAGTTCTTCGAAAATGTCGAACTGGTAGGCACATACTATGGCATATGAACTAGTATTTTTTCTAACTGGTTTGGGTTTTCACTGCAGGGTTTGTATACATATACCTTCTTAATTACATATGAAAAAGTTTCCGAGACGTGCAAAACGCCATCCGTGTAGTGAAAAATGCTTCATTTCAGTACGGGAGTATTTGAATTGAATATTTCCATTATACGTACGTAGTGTACGTATAATGGAAAAATCCATTTGGTTAAGACTTTTCACTTGATTTAAATACGAACATTTTTAAACGGTAATTAACGTTTAAGTCAACACAAAGGAGGTGCCTACAGTTTTATGTCGTCTCTGAACGGCGATTGTGTTTTATGGGAAGCTGTTTTTCATTTTCAAGGGTTGCGCACTTCTAACCTGGGGTGTAGCGGCCTATATGCGAAACCTATATTCAGATAAATTTTTTGGATTTTGGTATCGATATTTGGAATATCGAGTCTTTTTATTCCGATATTAATGGGTACCCGATATTTTTTTATAGCGATACTTTAAATGAGTGATAATACTTTCGGTTCGATATCGTGTCCCTACAAACAGCCGTGTTGCAGTCGTTTATTCAGATCCGTATCTATTACGATTAATTCTCACGTAGAAGAAAATAAGCAAAAAACCCGACTGAAAAGGAAAAAATAAATTTTAAACCAAAAATTCAATACAAAAACTTGAATTGTTTTAACCATAACCGAACATTTGTTTGTGTCCACACAACCATTTGTTTTGTCCATGCTGTCAAATAAAATTTCCTCTTAGGAAACAAAACAAACAGAGTTGATCACAAATTGATCCAGATTTCAATCAGTATCACTNCAAAGCAGGGGAAATTGAGAGAGCAAAATGTGAAAGAGAGCTGCAAATTTTAGCTGGAAAAATTTTCAATACATACTAAGTAATAACAAAATAATATTACATTTCAGTCCCCAACTACATANATTTTTTCTAACTGGTTTGGGTTTTCACTGCAGGGTTTGTATACATATACCTTCTTAATTACATATGAAAAAGTTNATGTGAAAGAGAGCTGCAAATTTTAGCTGGAAAAATTTTCAATACATACTAAGTAATAACAAAATAATATTACATTTCAGTCCCCAACTACATAAAATCAAAGAACGTAGATAACAAGAAGGGACAACTCGTTATAATTGTAGCGAAAGTGCGCAACAGGGGCATGCCTTCTCTTTTCATCCAATCAAAAAACGTACTAGAGCAAAAGAGAAGGCACGTCCCTGTTGCTCACTTTCGGTACAATTAAAACAAGTTGTCCCTTCTTGTTATCTACGTTTTTTGATAAAACCATAGATTCATTACATAAAAAACTGGGAAATTGTCGATTGACGTAAGTTTTATTTTTAATTTTTTTCAGTGTCAGTACCTTTTTCATCAATATTTTTAACGTTTTTATCAGTAACAAAATCCAACCAGAAATCCAAGTTTTCGGTCCATGTATTTACTATTATTTATTGTTATAAATTCATTAGAATTGGAATTGGATTCTCCAAGGGTTTCTGATAATTCAAATAACGAACCTAAACCATTGCGCAAACCTAACTAAATGTGTGCATAAAAATCACATTTTATTTTATTTTTCCATTTAGTAGTCCGCATATGAGGAGTTCGCGTCCGCTCAACGGAGGTTTTTGTTTGATTTTTTATGAAAATAAATCTTAACGTCCGTTGATAAGAGGTTCGCGT